TTGTGGTGGACTGGCAATTGAAAAATGATGGGAGACGCAGGGAAGACGTCTGAGCAACTGCCAGCCCCGAGAGCCCTCGGGTAGCAGTATTTATTAAGAAAATGCAAATACAAAATCAAAACAATGACTTCAACATTAGCTCAGCAACATTATCTAGCTAGGCCTCAGCGAAGGTGATAAAGTTCCCGTGAGAAAGCAGGGCACCAAAGGTCTCATGGGAATGGCTCGGATAGGTACTGTGAACTCCCACGCAGATTCCTGGTCTCTGAGCTTAGCAGACCATAACAGGATCAAACTCTCATCATAAAGACACTACTGCCCTCATGAGGAGCGTTTGTGATACCCCCAGATCTTACAAAGCTGTACAAGAACTTGCAGAATATGATGGATATATTACCACAGAATATATATCTGCGGAAATTCCCATGGGAATGGCTCAGCTATTCCCATGGGAATGGCTCAGCTATATACTATGACCTTTCACCGACATATCTGGTCCTCTAAGCTTCGCAGGTCCTAACAGGACAAAAACACCCATAGCAGGCGGAAATTCCCCCCCCACCAGGGGCATTTTTTAGTCCCTAGATCTATGCAAAGCTATACAAGGACCCACAGAATAAAATATATTACCACATTCCCTCCTTTTTTATTTATTCAAAGATAGGGGGTGTTTTAGTGGCATAATACACAGTTCCTTCGCGACTTTCGCGACTTGGTCCCATACGTTGAAAAGCTGAGGTACACATTTGAAATAGATTAGGAATACATTGAATACAGCAACATAACATAATAAGTATAATAACAATTGTCACAACTAATTGAAGCAATGAACGTAACCATGAGCTGTCAGGAAGCCAATCCCATAGCAAAGCCCAAGGTGACTTATCAAAGCCATCTTTTCCTGCTTCGTGTTCAGCTATGCGGTCTTCCATATCGTGAACAGTTTTTGTAATGTTAGGCTCATAATTATGTATGAAAATACAACAATGTGAATGAATTAAAGCACAAACTCCTCCTTTAGCAGCTAATATTATGTCTAAAGCATAACGATTTTGTAAAGTAATTTGGCGAATTTCAGACACTTCTTCATTTAACATCTTAATGCTCTTAACAGTATTATTAAACATAGCAACAGTGAAATTATTTAAAATATGAATATCTCTATAGTTCATAGCTATTCCCAAAGGTGGGAAAGAGAGTCTGTGTAAGGAAACTTAGGTAACTCCAATTGACATCTATATTGTCCATAGTCTGAAACAGAAACATTAAACAGGATCAGAGTTGTAGCACAGGCTGAAGATATAATATCCTTATCAGGTCCCGAGTAAAGAATGTCTTGACCCTTATGCCAGGACCAATATGCTGGAAAAATCAAAAGATGCCGCTGTTTGCAGATTAATTTAGTCCGATTCCCCAAAGGAATCTGCTGCATACAAGTTGATAACCTCAGATAAGCAGTCATCTTTTCCCAGCCTTCACAGCGCCGCGCCTGGATTGCCGGCATCAAGAGAATCAGGAACCACGGAAACGCCATCCTGAGAATCAGAAACCTCCCTCACTGGCACCTGCGAAGACGCCTGTGAATGATCAGGCCGAATACATTGACCAGGAACCCAACGAATTTGACCAAGATGTTCTACTGCTGCATAACCACGTCCCCACGTAATCAGCTCAGCGGGAACCCATGCCGGATCCGGAAGGAATCGCATCAACACTCGAGGCCTCACTGCATCTGTAGAAGGAGAAGAAAAATGCCTGCTGGCCGCACTCGCAGGGGGGTTACCAGACAAATTTAAAAAATTTAAAGTATACAAAGCAAGATTTAAATGATCTTGAATTGCCGGAAGCCCCAGGAGCTTCCCTCCTTTTTTATTTAATTTAGCTAACATGTTCTTGAGCGTGCCATTATAACGCTCCACAATAGCCTGTCCTGTGGAATTGTATGGAATCCCAAATTTATGTTCCACGGACCACTGTTTGCAAAACTGATCAAAGACTGTGCTCCGATAAGCCGCACCATTGTCTGTTTTTAAAGTTTGAGGCGTACCAGCGACTGAAAATGTCTTAATGCAATGATTGATGACATGTTTAACCGCTTCACCTCTTTGAGGAGTAGCCATTAGAAATCCTGAATAAGTATCCACAGTCACATGTATATACTTCCAAGGTGCAAATGATGGATACTGAGTAACATCCATTTGCCAAATCATTGAAGGTTTCAACCCCCTGGGGTTGACTCCCATAGGAATAGCCGTGCCTTGCTTTGAACAAGTTGGACATTGCTGAATTATGGCAGCAGCTTCTGCAGCAGTAAGCTTGAATTGATGTGCCAACGCTTTAGCATTTTGATGAAAATAACTATGGCTGTCCCATGGCTGGACAGTGAGAACTGAAGTTACAGCACTGTCAGCTTTGGCATTGCCTTGTGATAAAATTCCAGGCAAATTACTATGGCTACGAATATGGGCAACAAAACACACATTCACACGCTGCTCCAAACATCCTTGCAACAACAAAAGCAAACGTAGAATATTGGGTGATATTCCAGGAGACAAATAAGAACCTGCTACAAAGGGTAACAAATTATATACATACAAAGAATCCACTATTAGATTAAAATCCTGATTTTGAAAATTTTGAAAAGCCAAAACTACAGCAGCAAGTTCTGCCTGCTGGGCAGACTTCTGCTCTGATGTCACTTTTGTATGCCAAATTCCAGATTTATCTTTCCAAACACAAGCACCAAAAACTTTTTTTTTTTCCATCAGTAAAAACTTTAGGAGCATCTGATATACTGATTTAGGTCACACTCTGTCCCATTGATCTCTTTTTTTGCTGACTTTGACCCCCTCCAGGAGCCCAACATTGTGCTTTAAAACGTCCAGGCTTCCCACAATTGAAAAAAGTTTCTTTTTTAGCATTTCCTGCCTGGAGAGCCAGAGCTAAAGTTTCCATGTTAAAAGTCTGACTCCCCACCTTTTTGCAATCTGCGTTAGCCTGATCTACTGCTAACTTCAAAAGCAAATCATTCCGGGCAAATTGATTGTCAATTTGCCTTTCAATAGCCACTTTCAATCTGCTAATGAAATTTTCATAGGGTTCATTGTTTCCTTGTTTGATGTTAGTAAAGGTCTTCTCACCACCTTCGCCGTCAGGGAGAGTCCATACGGCTTGTAAAATTAACTGTGGGAGAAGAACGAACCCCTCCTCAGGCATTCTATCTCTCTGTTGATTTAAAGCAACGTCCACACCAATTTCTACTGGATTAAGTTGAATCTCCACTCCAAAATCTACCAAATCATCTCCTGATAATTCCCCTCTATTTGTTGCTTCTTGAATAGCTGCAGTAACTGCATCTACTTGAACTCTTAAAGGCAAACTCTTCTCTTCTGACAAAGTATTTTCAGTGCCTGACAGCCCTCTGGATTTATCTGGAGGTGCTGTCGGTGGCAATATACGTACCGCATTGTAAGGCGGCAAACCTTCTTCGGGGGGTGCTAGGAGCGGTTGTTCATGCGTAGCTAATGCATCCATAACCATCCTCCAGGTTAACAAAATTGAAGAAGGGGCACGAGGCTCCCCGTGCAAAAATTTCCCTATCTTTCTCCAGCACTCTACTTTAATACTACCTCCCTCTGGATAACACGGAATATGTTTCCAAACATACTGTAATAAGTCCTCAATTTCTTTCTTTCCTACTGCATGTCCTCTACTATGAACTCCAAACTTAAACCTATTCCCAGTGATTTCTCTCATTTCCCTAATGTGCCCTGTCTGAGCCTTCGAGAAATCTCCTCCCATACTTACGAAAAGAATCTATCTCCGTCCAGCGAAGAAGATGAGGGCCCAGTCGACGTCCGCGACGATGAGTATAGGATGCAGGAAACGTATAGCCTTCCAAAGCTATCACGTCGGGGTCACCACTTGTGGTGGTCTGACATTTGAAATGAGACGCAGGGAAAACGTCTGAGCAAATGCCAGCCCTGAGTAGACCCAGGTACCAGCTTTTATTGAGAACAAAATGCATATACAGAAAACAAGTGACCTCAACAGGATGTTATTTCCACAGGATATATAGGATGAGAACAAACAGGATGAGAATATATATCTGCGGAAATTCCCATGGGAATGGCTCAGCTATTCCCATGGGAATGGCTCAGCTATATACTATGACCTTTCACCGACATATCTGGTCCTCTAAGCTTCGCAGGTCCTAACAGGACAAAAACACCCATAGCAGGCGGAAATGCCCCCCCCCACCAGGGGCATTTTTTAGTCCCTAGATCTATGCAAAGCTATACAAGGACCCACAGAATAAAATATATTACCACATCGCCCAGTATTATCCGTTCATTTTTCATGACATCTTTTCAACCCGATCTATAATGGCGGATGCTATTAAAATTAACTTCTGGATTATTGTTCAAAGGTATACTTCAATAAGTCTGATGTTACGATACTTCGTTCCGTTCTGTATTACCGCTAGTAAGTTGAATTTAAGTGTTCTTCTCCTTTGAATTGTGATCTTTAATTCCTCATAATTCCCTCTTAGTGATCAGCCTTCAAAGTTGCTCCTATCATGTTTTGTTTTTAAAGAATTCAACACAAAAATATTTTCCCACAGGGAGGATTCTTATAATGAATTCATAAATCTTATTTCATCTGGACCCTTAATGTGTTTTAATTTCCAAAATTAAATTAATCATCCTTTTGCTGTTTATTCCAAAAGAAAAAAAAACCTTTAAAGTTCTTAAACCTGTATTTAAGCTTCTTTTGCTAAAATAAATCACCTAGTGGTTGATCCAAAGATCCATAATAGCTGAAAAGCAATTAACAAGCAACTTCCAAAAGTGATTAGAAAAGAAAATATGCACATCTAAATGTCCCAGCTATGATTGGAGCAAGGGTGGCGTTCCCTTGTCTTCCAGAGGTCTTGTGAGGACCCAGGGTGGGATATAAAAGCAAGAAAGTCACAAAAACATGTGAAGTCCCTTCAATTCCTTCAACTTGGCTTCAAAGGTCCAATTATCATTGACTAGAGAAAAAAAACTCCCCCACAAACAGTTGCGAAAAGGAATAAATTCCATTCAAACTCAAAATACCTATAAATTATAAATAGGAAAAACAGCACAAACCACACTGAAGCAATTAAGGAGACCAGGCAGGATAAGGGCTTGAAGACGTCCACAAATATTGAAATACACACACTGGGAAGGAGGCCCGAACTCAGATAAGAACAGACAGACTAGAATTATTTCACGGTTTGTTTTCAGCACTGGCCCATACGCATGTCCGTCCTTTTAACCAGTCCTCACAGTTGCAGCCCATGAAGGGGATCAGGACCCCTTCCTCCCCCTTAGTTCCTGCCATTCACGTTTCCCTTATCCTCTTCTCCCTGCATGCCCTAGGATGAAGAGAGGATGGACCTGGGTCTTCCTCTGAATGCCCAGCCAGCCTCTGCCCTTCCCCAGTTTCCTCCACAACCTCTGGAGCCACACTCCCACTCCCTGTTGGCTGCTCCTCCTCTCCCTCGGAGTCAGATTCTAACAGGGGCAGGACAGGTCTAAAGCCATCAGAAACTTCAGTCTTGTGGTCTCCTCATGAGGAACCACTGTCTGGAGCACTAGAGGTTGGTCTCAAGTCCTCTCCTTGTCCGGAGAGGAATTACAAAGAGCCCGTCTACTTGTAGCTCTTAATTCTGCTGCACTCATGAACTCCACTTTTAGCAAAGCCATCTTCAGTATATTATTTCCATCCTGGAAGTTGCCAAGACTGACTCCGAGGGCACCAACATTCCTACTTCAGGATAGAGATCAAGCATTTTCCTTTCCATTCTTTTGTTGTCTTGCAAAGAAAGCAATTACGGAGCCTGGCTGAGTCAGGAGAACTCCCCAATTCTTTTCCTCTTGTGAGAAGCTCTCCAGACTGCCTCTGTCCACTCATTCGGTCAGCCACTTCCTGGTCAGGCATGCAGAAAAGTCCAGAGCACTTTCCCCTTCATTGTGCTTTTCCAAGTGGTCTCCAACAGGGAGCAAGATTGTTGTCCCAGGGATTTTGTTTTTCGTCCTGGAGGTTTGTCTGCAAAATCCAGAGAAGTCCAACCGAGAACCAATTCGGTTGACGTGCCTGTCTTCTCCCCAACTTCTTTCCAGCTACAAATGTGGCCAGAGGGCGCCCAGCTTTTCAATCGTCCACTATTGAAAGCCAGTTCAATTCAGTGGCCAGAAAAGCCGTGGACGGGAATTGCAGTGGACGCTGGATCGGGCAGAACAGTTGCACCCACACCAAGCGAGAAAGGGAGCCCTGGTGGTACGTGGACCTGGGGAGCCAGTATGCCATTTCATCCGTGGTGGTGAAAAGCCGCGAGGACTGCTGCGGAGAAAGGCTCCGGGGAGCAGAAATCCGCGTGGGAGACTGCGTGACGGACCATGGAAAATCCAATCCTCTGTAAGTTCCCCTTTCCACAAAAGCCAAAATTGCTAGGAAAATGATGTCAATTTGGTAGCACCCAAAACATCATAGACGATGGCAGTGCTTGGATTTGTGTGTGTGTGTGAGGTTTTGTCTTCCAAGTTTTCAGGCTTGGGCTGGCGCCCATCTTTAGGGAACTTGTCTCTAGCAGTGTGTTGCTGTTATGTGTGTGGTATTTCTACGATTCCTCTTGCGTGCGGCTTTTTAGTTGTGGATTGGGGTGCCGGCTGTCATTTTCTTGTGCTGCCAATCCTTCACCTCCTAAGTGTTTGATAAACTGGTGATAAATCAGCCCTCCTGTTGACTGACCCCAAGGGGCCTGTTTCCCAGAGTTCCATAACTTCCCTGGCTGTTTTTGTGCCTGCTCGTCCGACAATCTTAGTTAGATGCGAAATGGAATGTGTGTCCTTGTTCACTGCAGTGGGAGTCTAGCAATGAATTTGGGTCTCCTCACCTGACCGCCTGCTTGTCTTCTTGCAATCTGGTGGTTAGCTTCCTTCCCACCTGTCCTACATAGTCACAGGGGTAAAATCTATGCATATCTTTTTTAAGAATGCATATCTTCATTTTATTTAACGTACAGCATGTGTGTTTGCAATTATTTTCACGGTCATGATGTGCACTGAAGGTGGTGTTTGATTTCGTTGCATGAGGTGCCATGACAATAAAGTAAATTAAATACAGAGTTCATCCAATCATGATATACAAATATGTTTAAATAAAGGATCAGAATGGAGGGATAGATGGATGGATAGATAGGTGGGCAATATATTATTTTTATTTTCAATTAAAAAAAATATTAAAATGTGACAGAGACAGTAAGCACATTAGGGCACTTACGCACGTCTCTTTAGGAACCTCTTAAACATGGGATGAATTCCACAAAAGTTAAGTTCAAATTAAAAACTGTGAAAATTAGTACCCAAGACAACTGAATCAAGGAGGATATTCCAGAATTTGACAATTCTCGTTACAAAAATCCGTGTTGTTGTTTTTTTACAACGGTATTTAAAGCAATTTACATTAGGTTTAAAGCAGTTGTTCACGCGTTACGTTACAACTAAAATTACAAAGTCATGAGGGTGGAGCAGCTTTGTCCTCCAAACTTGAGGGGTGGTTTCTAAACATTTTGTTACCAGACGGCAGAGTTTAGGGGAAGCGTGTCGGTGTTGTTGTCTATAAGGGCCTCCTGTGGTCAGGAGGTCCTGTGATGAGCCAGGTGGGTAGGTCAAGTGAGGGTCTTGTGATGGGTCAGGTGTGACAGGGAAGTTGCCTCAGATGGGGATCATTGGGAGGGGAACTTCCAATGGGGGTGAAGGTTGCGTGGGTTGGTTGAGGGTCGGTGCCGCCTCTGCTTAGCTGGGCGGTTTGGTTTGGCTTCTGAGGGGCCCGTAGGCGGGTTGTAGTTCACGGAATGGCTTATGGAGTGCCAGGCTTGGATGGACTCACCAGCATGGCGTGGGGGGGGGAAGGGGTAGCGTGGCCAACGCTTTTCGTGTTGCTCCAATCGACCTGGTCCTGTTTGGTGTCGGTGCTGGGTAAAGATGAGGGAATTTGGGGCTGTGGCATTTGGCTGCCAGCTGGTGTTCGTGGATACAAAAGTCCTTTACAAAAGTCACTTACGGGTAAAACATGACCATGTACAATTTTATATAGGAGATCAAATACAGGATTAAGATAAAACCATAGTAAAATCACCATAAGACGACCCTATACAGACGCGATGGAATAGATGTTATAGTTCGATATCTAAGGAAGCTGCTCCTGCATCCAACCGCTTCCGCTGGGGCTGCCCTGAGATCATCCCAGCAGGGGCGGGAGGCAAATATTTTTACTACTGGCTCTGTGGACGTGGCTAGATGGGCGTGGCTAGTTGGCTGGGTGGGTGTGGCTTGTTTTGCAGCATCCCCCACCCTCTCTTTTTCTTTGTCTCCTGGGCCTCAGGGAAGCCACCTGGGAGCCCATTTTTGTGGGTGAAGCAGTAAGACAGCGAGGGGGATCCTGGCACAGCTGATCATCAGAACAGCTGATCATCGGAACAGCTGATCATCAGGAGGAGGGAAAATACTGGTTTGGTTGAACCAGTAGCTGTTTTTTTACTACCGCTTCAGCTGAACTATAGCATGTTTGACTACCAGTTTGCTCGAACCAGGCCGAACTGGTAGAATGCCACCACTGCATCCCAGGCGCCTTGAAATATCCTGGAAACATCCTTGAACTCTCTGGCTTCCTTTTTTTCCCTAACAGCTGTGGGACCATCACCGACACCCGTCTGGGCGCCATCAGCACCATCCCCTGCAACGGTCTTGTTGGACGCTATGTCACCGTCACTGTTCCTGGTTGCACGGTGTCCCTGGCGCTGTGCGAGGTGGAGGTCTACGGGAGCAGGGTGTGTAGCCAGGACCCATGCGTGTCGGGACACACACAGGGATAACGGATAACCAACCTTGATTCTCTTCAATAAACTTCCTTGGAGCGATTCTGGTTTGTTCCTGGGGTTGGTTTGTAAGGTACAAAGGCGAGGAGGGTCAGGACTACGAAGGAGAAGGGAACGTCTGCATCTTCAAGATCTGCCTGGTGCTGCGGCCTTAGATCAAGGCCTCTAATAAAAGCCTCTTCTAAGCCCAAAGCACCAGAAGACCCAACAGACAGAAACCTGGTACCAAGAACGATCAACCAGTGGAACCACTTGCCTCCACTTGCCTCCACGGGTCCTGGGTGTCCGTCCCTGGAGGTTTCCAAGAAGAGGCTGGGCAGCCACTTGTCTCAAGTTGTATAGGGTCTCCTGCACGAGAAGGGGCTTGGAGTAGAAGACCTCCGAGGCAGGGTTGGGATTCAACCGGTGTTACTACTGGTTCGGTCAGAGTGCGTTTTGCACCTGTGCGTAAAGCAATTGCGAAAATCATCTGCTCTGCCACCCGGACAGCCGAAAACGTGCGCGAGTGCGCAGAGTTTGAAAATCGTCTTCTTTCCTGCTTTTTCAACCTCAGCCGTGCCGCACAAAGCGGCTGAGGTTGAAAAAGCCAGAAATAAAGGACAACCAAGAGCCCCGGGGGGCGGGCGGACCAGACAACCAGAAGGTTGTTGCAGTGAACTGGTTCGTGGTCAGCTGCTCTACAGAGCTACCGGTTCTATAGAACCGGGCCGAACCGGTAGCATCCTACCCCTGCTCCGAGGTCCTTCCAACTCTTGTTATCCTGCTACAAATACATCAAAGAAAACACGGGGCCAGAGAATGGAATAGGTTCCAAATAGGATTTTCAAAACATTTCCTGGTGGTTTGGTTGGACTAAAAAAGCCATGGAATATTTATTGGGAGATTATATTTGAAGGGGGCCACCAGGGGATCAGCCAACCGTTAACTTGAGCTTTGTCAGACATGGTTGATGAAACTCCTTCTAGACATTTTGCATGCACCAGAAAAATAATGTAATTAGGATAGATGGGCTTGAGGATTGAAAAACAATTTCTTTTAAAGGTGCCAAAAATGAAAGTTGCATTGTAGCCATAAAAAAGAGGTCAATTTAAAAGTATAGCTGTTAGGAGGGCAAAATCAGAAATCATTTCTTCGTATTTCTTTTTTTTTCTTCTTCTTCCTTTTCTTTCTGCATTTTCGGCTTTGTTTTTTTTCTCTTGTCTGGTGAAGAACAGCGAAAGGAACTGGGCATATTTAACTTACAAAAACTATTGGGCTATAGGGCAGGGATCTTCCGATAGCGAAAAAGAGGGTCCGACAGAGGAAGAAACTTTGTCATCTCAAAAGTTCATCATCACAAACAAGGAAGTAGATTCAGGTGAGATATTAGGAGGAATTGCAGTAGGGCTCTGTGGTGCTCTCTGAGCTCGGTTGTTTTCTGAAAGACGTTTCATTACCCAAAGTAGTAACATCATCAGCCCAGGGAGGGAGTGGAATTTGCGGAAAGGAAGGAAGGGAGGGAGGGAGGGAGGGAGGGAGGGATTGTGGGGTCCTTGGTGCTCTCGGAGCTGGGTGGTTTTCTCAAAGACGTTTCATTACCCAAAGTAGTAACGTCATCGGTGCTAGCGGCTCTGCCAGAGAGCTTCCCACACAGACACCAGCCAGCCCTCTGTCCAAAAGGCTTGGGCAGCTTCTGCACTGAGCAACACCCTGGAG